TGGAAGTCGACAGTGAACCTGCTTCGTGATTTTTTGCATCCGCTTGTCTCATGCGGTACTCTACCATTTGACTATCTAAGACTCTTTTCCATTACCCTACCTCCAGGTCACTGTTTCACTTCCCTTCCTTACGCTGAAGAAATATCGTGCCTACCAATTTACTACTGCCTTTTTTCAGGAATTGTCATACTGTTTCATACTACTCGGCTGTTTTGACAGAGCATGCCATATACGAATGGCTCGTTAAGTTTTCTGTTGCAGTCACATCAGTACGTTCTTCAGCTTGTGGTGGTGCGCTCGGTCGGACTTCCCTCTGATTCGACGTTGAACTTGGCGTGTGTGTTCCTATGTAAGGCGTTTTGTGGCGTGAACTCGTGTACAAAGCTGGTTTGGGGGAGGCTTTCTATCAATGGCACCCGATACTTGGAGAATCGAGGGTACATTATTTTTCGCATAGTATGATGAATGATTATTAAAATTTAATCTTGCATATTCTTCCATGTGCTTGCTTGCGAAGTTGAGTCGGCAATGGCAGTTTAGCTTGCTCTCTAGACTGACGCTGGATCGGGCCAAGATCGGATATCTATCTTGTGGCGACGCTTTCGGCGGTGGTTCCATGAGTGAAATTCATGGGTGTATCATCTCCGCCACTTGGCAACATTCATCGTGAACTTGGACAATATAGCAGTGGTGAAGGGTAGTTGGAGGACATGGCAGTGGTAGGACATGACAAGACTCTTCGCCCCAATGCATCGCTTTCCGTAGCGATTGGTTCTGATCCTCGGGAATCAGCCACCTTTTCAGCAAGTTGCACTCATAAATAATCGCAGGGATTTCTGCCGCGTCATATGTATGTTGTCGATAAGCAGCCTTGAGCAACGTAAGGGAAGTAGGATAGACGGTAGGATCTGGTACATGCACAGCAACTCAAAAACCTGTCTTATCTCTCCCGAAGGGCATAGAGCCTAACTAGTTATCCGGGGGCTCACTCGAATCAGATCTGCCCCGAAGGACCAGTCGTGAAACGGAAGCAAAATATAGATCCGCCGTTGTCTCCGTACTGCTGTGCTGGCTGATGGTGCGTGGTCTGGTGTCTGGTAAGAAGATCTATGTACAAAGGTCTGGAGTAGGCTGGAGTAGGTCAAGTCAGTTCCGTTTTTCGAAAGTTGTATCGAGTATGTACGCAACTTTCCAATATCTCCAGCTTGAATCATTATTCGTCGCAAATTCGTGGCTATCAAGCCCACAAAAGTTTAATCTGAAATTGTGGTCGTGTGCAATGTGATCCCTTCATTGGCTGACGGTACCGGTTTTCTTCTGCTGAGGGCATTCCGCTATGTTCTCACTGATCGATCCTGAATGCGGCAGACGCTTCTGCATTGAATAAGTACCTATCAATGCTTTTCAGTACAACTTCTTATACAGTCTGAGGTCATATAGCAGCCCTGGAAGTAAGGTTTCAAAAAATGTTCGTCAGACATTGATTTTTTTTTTCAGTGGGACAACGACGAGGTACTCGGGGTCTTCACCATCCTTTGGAATCCGTGGGCTCCCAGCCCAATTAGGCATTGTGCAGATCACTGCTTCCCAACTTCTGTCCAGATGGTACGAGAGTTTGCTAACACTACGACGGGCAATGCACTCGAATCAGAACTGTAAATGAACCGTACACATCATACATGCTTTGTAGGTATGTATGTCCCCCTTATCAGTCAATCACAGCGGGACCAGGCAGGACCAGTTGTTTGATAAATACATCACCTGAATACGCATATTCCACGAGTCCCATTTACTCCGGGGATTCTATAGCTCTTCGTGTACAGACTCCTGAGCAATACGTATAGCCTCTTCGACCTGTTCCTTACTTTTGCCAATGATTATATTCGTCGATTCAAGCTCCTCTTCTCCATCCATGACCGGAGATGTCGGCACTGGGTCGATGGGCAAGATACTGAATTCCTCTCCTTCTCCCGATACAGGCTCTTCTGAAGAAGCCTCACCTTCATGCTCCTCTTTCTGCGGTGGAGATAGGACATGATGTATCTGAGCACTCAATGTCCTGACTCGTGTATCGAAGCCATTCTTTGCATCCTCCAATTCCAATTGAAGCTTGTCAAGAGCTGGAACAAGTGGGTCTATTGGTGGGGATGGGTGAGTCCCATTCTGAATCATGCGAATCTGTTCGTCGAAGCGCTCGTGGGCTTGGGGAGATAAGCAGTGTCAGAAAATCATATTGAGCAGCTTCAAATTTTCCGTACCTCGTATCAAGTCATGATATTTTTGCCAGTCCTGGTATGTGACATCGTCGAGCCATGCCATAGGCATACCCATGTTTCCCTGAGCTTTTTGTGCAAAGGTTTTGACTTCTTTGGTGGCGCGATGATACTAATACCAGTTGAGCTAAGAATGAAAACTTCGGAATTATCGAGACCTACCTCTTGCACCTCGAGTTCACGAACTTCCAGATACCACCAATGAATCTTCTCCTGTAGTCCATTGATGCGCTCGATGAATCTCTCCTCGACCCGCTTTACTACATTGAACCAGCGTTTCATGCGATCATCCACATCCACATCAGAGGAATCTCAACATACATTTCAGCACTTGAACGATAACCGAACGACAAAGAGTTGCACATACCAGAAACAAGCTTCTCTTCCTTTTTCAAATAGCTCTCAAGACCTTTCAGTAACTTTTCGCTTTCTTTCTCGAACCGTTCAAGAATACCAGCGACATCTTCGCCACGAATATGTGTCAAAGCCTCTTCCAAATCACTGTTATCCTTTTCAGGATCCGGGAAGAGGGATCTCACAGCGCCCTTTCGAACGCGGACCAGCTCCTTCCTGAATTCCTTCGTTCGACGTTTCATCAACCCGTCGAGATCAGCATGCCACTTCTCCATCCGTGCTTCAAGCTCTGCACGCTTTTTGGCAGTCGCAGCCCGACGAGCTGCAGCTGATTCTTCAGGACTAATAGCTCCGTCCTGCTTTGTCTCGACGACAGGGGTTTCCGTAGAGTCACCCGTTTCCTTATCTTCGTTCTCTAGAAGACCCAGGTCAGCGAAGAAGTTGTCGAGATCATCTTCGGAAGTCGATGAAGCATATTCGGAATCGAGAGTTTCTTCCCAAGAAGTATCCTGTTCAACTTCAATTGGGGCCTCGAATTCTGACGCGGGTTCAGTCGCAGCTAAAGGCGTCTCAGCGGGGTTTGCGATGTCAGGCGTCAAAGTGGAATCGTAGGAGGCAGTAGTGCTCTCATGTTCTGATGATGTAAGAGAAGACGTAGTAGATGCAGAGAAAATCTCGCTTATTATACTTGCTTCCAGTCCCGTAATAATTGACGAAAGAGTTGGATCTTCCGATGTTAATGTTTCCAGGGGAAGGGATGACTCTTCAGGGACTGGGGATGCTTCTGAGGGCTCCAAAGGGACTGATAACGAAGTGGAGATACTGGCAGAAGGCACGGAAGAAGACCCGGATTGAACCGTTTCTACTTCAGCCTCTGCAGAAGTTGCCTTCGTTTCAGAAATGGGGGTCGAGACGGAAAAAGCGGTAGAAGTGGTCGTGGTTCCACTCGAGCCACTCAGTTCGACTACTTTCTCCCATATCTTAATCACATGTGGGTCCACAAATTGTCTCCTCGCCTCTGCGCTTTTTTCCAGGAGCAGCCCGAAAAGCTTCAAGCCCGTGTCCACCGACTGTACAACATGAGGTTTCGCGACCTCCCAGGCCCGGTCCATGAAAGGTCGTGCACGAATGTAGGCGGAGTGAATACGAGGTGCAGCGGCTAGATATATTCGATGCAGAGTCCAGAAGAGTTTGTTCGCATACAGATGAGTCTTCAACGTCAGCGGTCTGAGATATGGGTCTAAAACACGCGATCGCAGGAGATGCAAACGAGGATAAACGTATTCCATGTACAAAGGATCAACGTATTTCTGATACAATGGTTGTATATGCTTGTTGTACATTGGGGTGACAAGCTTAGCATAAGCAGTCAGCGCCGTTGCCTGAGTAAGCTGGGTAGCTTTGGTGATATACGGCTGGACGACAGCGTGAGCGCGAATAACGATAGGAGCCACGGCGTGTTCTACAGCGTAGAATTTGGTGACAGCCGGAGCAACGTATGGATGCAAAAGTGCCTTTTGGACTGGTGGAAGCACATACGGGTCCAATACGTGTGTTCGATATTGGGAAAGAGAACGACATATCGGGTTGGAAAGGTGAATATCGGAGGGACATGTCCATAAAGCATAAGTCGAAAATATTGCAAGCATAATGACTAGGAATCTGTCCATTATCGAGGATTTGGTTCTGAGCTTTGGCGTTTTCGAAGGCTTCTTTGGTTTCGTTTTCTTCTGAGGTGGACCAGCCGTAGAAAGTGATTTGGAATTAGAGGTGGCTTTCGCGCGAGGGAGTGGCTGGGTCGAATTGGTCCTAGAGCCCATAGTTGGGGCCGCAGGGAAGTTCTGTTTCTTGTTCACCACCATCGTCTATAGCATATGAAGGAATGAAGGAAAAGAGCTGAACAACTGACGTGGTGATGACATTCAAATTGATGCTAGGAACTGCTTTTACCACGTGGTTAATACATTGGCGCTGTGTTTAACTCGGCGCACTCTTTAATGTTCAAATTCGTATGTATGTAGCTGGCTTCATTTTCTGCAGATTACCATGGGGAGATTGAACTACCTGGTGTGGGCCCCAGGTTCAACTTTGGATGACTATCGGTTGACCCCAGGTGCAAATCCGAATTACTACAGGATTGGACGGTACATAGTTCCTCAAAGATCTGGGTTGATCTAGTTGGATTAATCAATCTGGAGAGAAGCCAATTGCTACTGCAGACAAATCAGAGTTATTCCAAGTAAAACGACCTCCTTGCACGTATCAAGCTTGGTACATAGTAGGGGGGTGTTTATTTACCATGAATGTCATGGAAAGCCGAGGAGAGCGTTCTTTGAAGCAGAAAAAATGGAATCTATTTTCTCGCATCTATACTCCGACCTGCCTGGTTCGAACAGGCGACCCCAAGATGCGATTAGATATCCTTTACAGTCTTGTGCTCTTCCAACTGAGCTAAGGTCGGTTCCTGTACCCGTGACTTAAAATGGTTATGAGACCTCTAATATTGTCATGTGTATTATGTGAATCGTGAATCTGACTACTAACGCTGACTCTTCGACCATGAATATCGATACCCGCCAGAAGTTGAAGCGCAATATTTCTCTGGATCCTCAGCAAGATCCTCCTATCAAGAAGCCCAAAGTGCGAAAACCTCTAGAGACTAGATACGAAACACCTTATCCTTCTGCTCTTTCTGAATCTCAAGTCTACAAGCTGCCATCGTCCATCGGTCCTTATCTTTCGCCATCCAAGTTTTCTCCAATCCCTAAAGCTCATTTGCAACGTAATCATCGAAGAACCAGCTCTACCAATCTGAAAGAAAATGCATCTGTGCTGTCCAGTCCGTTTCCCAAAGGAAAACACCCACAAAAGCTCAAGAAATACGGCAAAGCAGCCAAACGTACCTACAAGAAACGCGCTGATCCACGCTCAAACGGGACTCCATCAGACAGTTGCTCTAGCTCCGCTTCTAGCCCCGACCGTCGCAATCGGGAGCTCACATTGGCAGAAAAAATTCACAATTCCAGCATTTCTCGTTCGCGCGCTTCGCAGTCGACAACCAATTCCCCAGCTGAGACGACGACCAGAGTCCGTCGACCTTCAGCTCCTACACCTCCAAAGAAAATTGATTGGAAGGATCTTGTACCAACCCACCCCGTTAATCTAAGGGCCGCTGTTTCCGGTTATTCCCAGTCCCATTTCGACACAGATGCCAATGAGTTCATTCGACCTTCGCCTAATCACTCGCAGATAGACTTCAACAGGCCGCCATCGCAGCTCTCTTTGTATGACTATAATCGCAGCGTAACTTACAATGACATGGACGTGGACGACACCGCTTCGACTGATCAAGATGCGTTCTTCACCGATGTACAGGGTACCTCGACTCCTTTCAAGAATCTGAGCTCTCTCAGCGCCGCTGACCGTCGATTTGGAGGTACGGTAGATCCAGTGGCTCTCTCCGGTTCTGCCCTTTTGCTCTTGCAATCGAATATCGACGGACAAGAAACGGACACTGATAATGACTCCTGTGGATTTGACTCCGATGAAGCTATGGATGACCCTGGGCGTCACAGATCTTTCCGAGCTCTAAAACTCGCGTCCAGGAACAAGTCGAAATCTGGTAGTGGATACATCACTCCCTCATGTGACTCTGGGGACGAGGAGATGGGTCGACGTTCTCCGTGGATCAGCGACTCGTTGATCTCGCCTCCCAAGACGATCGACTGGAAACTAGTGCCACAACACACTGAAGATGGCGCATATAATCAGGTAAATAGCGGAGGTCATATGGTGACAGATGAAGAAGATCGCGTCTCCGAACCTGCGTTGCAGGATTTGTTCGACAACATGATTCTCAGTGAGTTTGTGTCCCCCTCCTTTGATGTAGTGAAATTCTGACGATGATCGATAGATAAAACCGCGATGGACGCCCATAGCTCGCCTTCCAACGGCACAGAATCATATTGTGTTCGTCTTCCTCTTCGTACTCACTCCCTAGATACTGCGCATCCTCTATCTTCTAACCAGGAGGAATCTTTGAATCCTGTCGCTCCCGGAGCTAGAAGAACCAGGAGCGGAACCATTATTCCAGGTACCTCCGCCGTCCCCGTGGTCACGTCGAATGTACCACCGGCACTCCCTAGGAGGACTAGAAGTGGAACAGTCGTTCCAGGAAACTTCGGCACTCTATATCCCGCTCCATTGGATGATGAAAAGCAAAATACTCTTGGAACTGCTCTGTCCGTCTACGGTCGCCGTGCTCGCAGCGGAACCATTGTCTACAGCTCGTCGCTTGCGCCGTCCCTGCCCATCGTAGAAGAAAAAAACTCTACTGAGTCCAGCTCAGCTATTCCAGTGATGTCCCAGGCTCGACGCGCTCGCAGTGGCAGTATCATGGCTGCTAATTCCATTCCGGAAGGAGTAGTTGCAAATTCTACCGTGGGTCCCACTGCTGCTGCAGTGCCTCGTTCTAGAATTAGGAGTGGAAGTATCATCGCACTTGGGAACACCCTAGGGAGTCTTTCCAGTCATGCAACTGGTTTTATTAAACGTCCGCGTAGCGGAACAGTGGTGCGAGCGTCTGCAGATCCAGATCCAACGATTGTCGTGGAGAAAGCTATCGATATCGATAACCTGCAAAAGAGCCCAGCTGACATGAATACCGTCAGTGTGGCTCATCTCCAAGGTGAAGATGTGGAAATGTCGCTGGCATCTGAGGATAGGCATAACCCCATTCCGCGTTCACCTGACGATCCAAAAGATCTTTTAGAGCCAATGGTCTTCGCTCGTCCTGTCCAATCATCCCCTCCACACACTGCCACGTTGGGCGCTGTTTTCCACGTCCGTTCCTCCAGCGGTCTCCGCGCTCGCGCCAAAGCTGCCGCCTCCAAGGCGAAAGGGTTGAGTAAATCCTTGACTGGCAAATCTGGCAGTTCCAAAGTCAGAGTCCTGATTGGACCTGAGGCGGGTGCGGCCGCCCTTGCTCGTGCTCGGGCAAGGGCTGAACGTAGGTCGACTAATGATGATGATGATTTTGTCAACGCAGAGGATTTGTCTGACGATGAATTGTTGTTGAAGTGATGAACCGGTACAAGTGTGCATCCTTGCCCCCGCATATATGAAAGCTGACGTTGGTCGCCGTCGTCAGTTATTTTTTCTTTGTCTCACTACTTCTACTAGCTACTAGCTACTAGAATAATCTGGATGATCCTTCAGCTTTCGTCGTTGTTTTCGTGACCGTTGTTATGTAAGTTCTCTACTCTCAGTCTGGATTCACATCGCTTTCTATCGCTTTTCAATCTTTGCAGTCACGTCTCTGGTTACAGATAATTTCCTTGGCTTCTTCATATTCAATTTTATTTCCACCCTCTCCAAAACCGCCACTTTTCCTTCGTTCCAATATATCTTTAGTTGGTCTTTTGACCTGTCTCAACGTTCCCGTCGTTCGTTCTTTCCTCCAATCAGGCTCCAATGACCTCAACTTCACGGTGTTTTTACATTTTACTCCTCGAAGCTGTATAGTATCCACCTTGTTACTGAACAAATAGTTTATTTCATTTTCAGGATCAAATTTCCTTCGCTGACTATAAGCTATCTTTGAACGAGAAAGGAAAGGAGAGTTTATTACACGGCTCGGGAGTATTTTCATTTCCACTGAAGACGTAAAAACCGATCGTCGAGATAGATATATAGCTCAGCATCTGAGATACACTCTGGAAAATGGGGTTCTCTTCGTCGAATGGTTTTCTACACAGCAGAATTGGGTGTGGGGCCTTCAAAGTTGCATGACGGTCCGATTTTGCTAATCACCTGAGCCATTGAGATCTGAGTAGTGCATTGCGACGACACGGAGCAAGACTATGTCCCTGTATTGCCCCCAGATTGCTCCTGTATGTGGTACGAATATCGCCAAACAGGCTTCACTGATTGGACGTCATTTTGGTGAGGTATGTATACATATAATTAGTGCTACTTCTGGGACTCTGGGGTCCTAGGAGCAAGACAGGCATCCCGTATTCACATCGGACTGTGTGACACGGCCTACGGACTGCGACGGGGCAAAAAATTCTTGCCCAGAGTAACTTCTCTCTGGGGAAAGACATTGTAGTCACGTCCGTCAATTGAACTTCTTTATCGGGCGGCTCTTATAGATACTGGCAACAACGATTGAGAAACACCTGTACCTGCAGAGACCCAGCATTCCTTCGGGAACCCTCCACGAATTTCACTTTGAGGGTTGCCAGAGGTTAGGACGGTGACTTGCGCCGAGAAGTGGTTTGCTGCCATCTCGAGTTCTTTGCCGACAACTTTTTTTTTTGTTTACATGGAGCATCTAGTTACTCTCGAGCTGATGAAAAGGCTCAACGAATTTCTTGTTTTATATCATACCTACCAATGTAAACCATTGGATCTTATCCTTTGACGACAAGTATTGAGGTTTTTGTCCGAGTTTCGAGCATGATAAGCTGGTAGATTATATAAGTTGAAGAACTGGTTTCTAAGGGTTGGCCAGAGCTTGGCGTGTCTCCTCCCCTTGAATAGATGGCGAGGCCAAACTCTTAGTGTTAACCACCAAGGTAGGCTTGTGCCGAATTACTGCCGGATCATGCCTCGAAGGAAAGGGTTGCCCAATAAGGACTGTGGATTTCTAGGGGCAAGTGCAGGGGTTTCTCGATAATTTTAACCCATCATACCTTAGCAGTACCATAGTGAATCTCACATTGCATGCTCGGCATAAGGAGGTGTCACGACCACAGTATGGATGATCCTGAGAGATGCCGCAACGATATCGATGAACTTGGCATTGACGAAAACGCCACTACATGGAATTATACCCAGGGAGCTGTAACACCGGGAGAAGAGGACTGTAAAGGTTCGTACATATAATGCTTTTTCCGTCGGCCATCAAGTTGTGTATCGTTGTAGATCCAAATTTTGATACATATAACAAATTGTTCGGAAAGACTAGCCAGCTTCAACCCGATTGTTCATTTCCTGACGTCTGCCAAACAGCTATATGTAAGATTGGAAATATCCAAAGTTCAAAAGCTGATGCATCACTTACATGAGGCGGAAAGGACCATGCGATTCCGACAAGAATCATTGCCTCCGAAAAACTCGTGCCACTTCACTGCACATGAAGGCCCGTCTAGTCCTAGACTTGTACTAGAGCGTTGATGATATAGCGGATCTGAACGATCTATTGTTCGATAAAAAAGCATGACTGCCATATAAGCACTGGCGCAAATGGCAAAGTAGAATCAATTTCAAACCAATGCGGCCGTGGGTATTAGCATGATCAGTAAGAGATTGTGGCAGACAGCTAGAAGGTCGTCCTTTCAATGAATTCAGAAAGCAAGGAACAATTCTTTCCTGAGGTGGTCAGCTAATCACGACTGAACGGCGGCAAGTGAAGATATCACAGCGGGCTGACTGAGAAATATACGCAGCCCACCAAAT